AGGGAATAGAATATAAATTTCCCCATGTTCTTCAGTCTGTTTTCTCTTCCCAGGTCCGAACGAAGTCAAGAACTTTTGACAGTGTCAGTCACTTGATCAACTACCACCGAGACAATGAGCTGCCCATAGTGTCGGCAGAGTCAGCCCTTGTCTTGCGCAATCCCGTGTTAAGACGTATACGTTAGCACTCAAGAGCAAATTTTATTATATATATATATATATATATATATATATATATATATATATATATATATATATATATATATATATATATATCAACACTTTTTTCAGCCACAGAGAACAGTGATAGTGCACATATGTAATAAAAGAAGTGTCACGCAGCAGTTAGCAAGCTGAGCTGATTATTATTATTATTTTTTTTTTTTTTTTTTTTTTCGGGGGGAGGGAGCAAGGTTTGCAGCAGCTGTGCGACCCATGTAACAACAGTCTCAACTTTGGGTCATCATCATCATCTGCAAGGCTTTTGATTTTTTTTTTTTTTTATGTATATTTGCACATACAAACATAAATTAAGATGTATTTCTTTTGATTGTTCTTGTTTATGTGTGCAATTAAATTTATTACTGTCTTTAATGATATACTGAAAAGATATAAACTTTTGTGTCTTCCCTCAGTGTAATCAGGCAAGTTGTTCTAAATAGCATTTGCAAAAGCTCGTGGACTTAGTATTCGTTTTTGTGCAACTGGGTACTTGATGTAAGCTTTGTTGGGTATATCTGGAAGAAACAGGATGTCATTTAGAATTATTGTACAAGCTAATGCCACTGATATTGAAAGATGGAAATACAGGGGGTTTTGAAGTGCTCTTTGTCACCTCAGTCGATGAGGGAGAGAGAGATACTTGCAGCCAGAAAATGCTCATAATGAAATAGAAATTCCAGCATTTCTAGTTGGTATACCCAGTGTTTGATTTAATTGGTTATCTCCCGGGCAACTTATCATAGCTGTTTTACACCCTTCATTTTTCACTTCTTTTTTTCACCTGTTTGTGTTCAAAGAATATCACTAATTTCATGCTGAATATATTTCTTGAATATTGTAAAAACAAAAAGCAACAAAAAAATAAGTATATAACATTTTAAATGGGACACTTATTTTTCTAATGTCCAATTTTTACATTACTTATTCTAATGTAGTCCTTTTATAAAAAAAAAAGAATTTCAGGTGTTTATTCATTGCACAATTGCACAAAGTCTCCCCATAGAAAGGAAATCAGGACCTATTAGTTCTTGGATGTAATTACAAAAGGCATGTGTTGGGTGCTTTCAAACTGTTGTGAATGTCTTTTTTTTTTTTTTTTTTTTTTTTTTTTTTTTTTTTTTTTTATCAAGGGGAAGAAGAGAGTTTGGTTAAACATCAGCATATGGTAATATTATTTCAGATTGTCACTAGGCATCTATTTTTTTTTTTATCAGTGAAATTGAAAAGAAAATTAAGTTAATTCCTGTATGAGAAAAAAATTAACATGAAGTGCATATGAGGGGTTGAGTCCCTTGTTAGTCATTTGATTTAAAAGTTTGAGCACTTGATATAGGCCTAGATTGAATATATAATTAGCCCATTGATTAGACTGTCTTCTTTCCTTGTTTAACAGGAGTCTTGATGATTCCACATGGATTTTATTGTCTTTTTATGTAACTTTATTATTATTTTTTATAGGTGGCCAACTAGTCAGAATTTGCCATCATGAAAAATGTTTTATTCTGAATTTTTATGTGTACAGTAATATATACCTTTAAGATAAGTATCTTCACATTTCAGTCTCCTAATTATTAGGCCAAAATGCAATAATAGAATGGTAATATATACCCATTGTTACAGGACAGTCATCAGTCTCACATTGTCTGGAACTTCGAGCTGTCATTCAGCCTAAACATGTGGTGTGATTCTTTGATTCCGAACATTACTTTTTCTCTGCCATGGATATGGCTCCTGGCACTCACTATTTTTTTTCATTCTTTTATTTATTTGTTGATGCCATTGCAGTAGTCTTTACCATTAGCACTGCAGAAATTGCAGAATAGCTGCAACTAGATTTCAAGATGACTTGAATATGTGATTTCTGAATTCAGGAAATTTATATAATTTAAAATCTAGCCTCTGAACATTTTTATTTTGGCATGTGCTTAGCCATGTGTTTTTTCTTTCTTTCATTTTTAATCCCCACATTGGTTCCTGAAGAATGCGAGATAGATACTGAGCACAATAGACCCTCCAAGTCTTTCCCTAAAGCCTTGCATTCTTGTGCCCTCCCATCACTTGTGCCTCGAACGGTTCCCGAGCTGTATAACGGATGAATCTGTTTGGTGCTTGGCCCATGGGTCTGACAACTCACTTTTATATATGCTCAAAATGTATTGATACAAATCCCATTCATTCAACTTTCTGGTAAAAAAAAGAAAAAAGAAAATGAAAATTTGATATGTAACACTGTTAATAGCTGAAGTTACAGCTGGAGATAATGTTGTCCATTAAATTACATGAGAATGAGGAGGGTTAGCAGGTTAATTGTTAGAATTTCTGTTTTATTTTGTTATTTATTTTTTTGTGTAGATATCTAAAATAGATAAAATCTTGCCAGGTACACTTTGGCAGATGGAGTGAAATAAAATCTGAAAATAACTGCAGATTTAAGCATTCAAATATTTTTACAGTAACCTACATTCTCCCATTTAATCAGTACAAAATACTGTTTCCTCAGGCCTGGAATAGTTCATCTCTTTGGTTCTGTAAAAAAAATATATATATGTGTACATATAAACAGATGAAGCATTCACAAAAAATGCAGATACATCTATATAAGAATGAAAAGAGGCCCACCTTTTCCCTGTCGTAAAAGGCAGAAGAATGCATTGAGTCAATCAGTTTCATATACCCAAAAGTCTCCTTTCATCATAGAAAGGGAGCATTTGAAATGGACTTACGTAAGAATTTATTTAAAACTGCTCCATAAATTTGTAAATATAAATAGGACACTTACATATTGCAAAAAAAAAGATGATGTGAGGGAACACTAATTGTATACATTATTGCTGAGGTGATGGGGGAGGCAAAAATATTTACATTGTCATTTAAAAAGAAAACCGTAAGAGTTAGGGAATCACCGCTAATAGGTAGTTGATCCTAGATTACAGGTAGTTATTAATGATGTGTTGATAACCAGTAGCTTTCCTCAGACATGATCAATGCAGGTAGCTTTAAACTTTCCACATTCCTTGCAAGACACGTAACACTATTTTTTTTAAATAGCAGCTTTATGGAACCAAAGTCCTATTATTTCATAATTTTTAGAGAGCTTGGTTTTTGCATACAAGAAGAATGGGATCTCAATAACTCCTTTAAATGACCTGCCAAGTGAGAGAGAGTTTCATCTCCGTCATGAAGAGGTTACTGACCAGAAGGCATTTGTAGAGGAGGAGAATGCAGGAAGAGGAGTTGAATGTAATTGCATGAACAAAAACAATTTGGAAGTTGTTCAACCTTGGCAAAGAAGGAAAGACTTGAGAAATTTCTTAGACCCCAAATATTTATTTATAACATACTGTAGAAGTACAAGAGCCCAAGAATCTTGTGTTCTGAGATGCACTCACTGTTGAAGGAGCAATATACAGTTTTATTCCCTCTAACTTTGGTTGACCATTACTTAATGATATATATCATTATTAATAGTGCAACATTTGTTATTAAGTCCTCCCTTATTCCTTGTGTATATCAGATGTCTTGTGTTTGTGTTCAGACAGTCCATATAAAGAGCAATAGGTTTATTGTAACCCAACTAGCTAACTGTAAACCAAAGAAGTAATGTAGGGACTGGGAATATATGGGTAACTAATCCATTTCACATTTTAATATCTGTAAGAAGCTACTGAAGCTCTATTTTTCAACAAATATTTTTGCTACATGAAATGACTGTGTCATTAATGACAAACTTGCCTTGTAGTTTTTAGAAGTGACATGTCCTCATTTAGTTCTTTGTATTATATATTGTATTATACTGTAATTCAGTCAATATTAAGATTACATTCAATTGTACATATGATCATGGTATTTTAATGTTGTGTGTGCCAAAATATGACATTTGTTACTTATCTATTGGCTATTGATAATCAAAATGTCTCTTTATATTAGTTACTTGTGACTTGGCTGACTTTGAAAATAATATATAAATTGAAATGTGTGAATGAATATAAATCACTGTAACTTTGTATTAATTACTGAATAAAATATCATATATAATTGATTGCCTTCATATTGATCCCTCCCCACCACCTATTTATTTGCTGAAAATTTTCTGCTGCATCAACAACTAAGGTCATTAGCGGCTTATTCAAAGTATAGTGGTATGATGATGCTTAGGGCAGTCCCAGGTAAGGAAAGGTCTATGATAAAGTATTAAGGTGAAAGGTGAAAAATGAATTAATGATGGTGAAAATATGTTAGATGTGTTAGATATGATAGGTTGCAGAGCGCAGTAAAAAGCATAAAGAGGGCAGGACTGATACTGTTAGGCCTTCATCCCTTCAGCACGGCTTACACACTTGTATTGGATGTGGATAAAAGAAGGGGATGACAAAGAAGGAAAAAGGAAGAGGAAGAAAAGACGACGCAGAATTAGTTGAGACAAGAGCTGAGGTCCAACATAGGGGTGATCCCCTACATTTGGCCTTCTAAGCACCCCCCTACTACACCACCTATTATCAGACACACAGCAGGCATTGCATTTCATACATTATTATGTGTGTATATATTATATTAAACACATTTTGTTAAATATAGCGTTTTAATTTATACAAAGAATTTCAGGCTTCAGCTTCAACTCCTGTACATATATATCCGATACCTCTTTTACGTGGATGCTAGTTATTATTCCTTGGATTCAATTTGGTTTTCTAATTCATTTTGGTATGACAGACTGTGATATGTCCTGTAACTAAATCCTAACCATAATTTAGATTGGAAAATGTAATATTCCATTAAAATTTAATTGCCTCAACGTTCTCGTGCGTGGTTTTCATCTCTTTCGCAGTCGTTCCGATCGTCCACATCTTGTCAGTTATATCCGTCACAAGCTCGTGTACTATCTACCCTAAATGACTTCACTGGCAAATATGTCTGCCGAGCCTCGCTACTCTTAATACTCTTACTAGAACTGTTTCTGTCTTCGACTGATTGTCCTATCTACGACATGAACGGGTCAGACTGAAAACGACCTACTTATAATGCAGTGGCAGTACAGTTAGACTATTCCTCCCAGAGGCCAGCGTAAGTCCTACACTAATATTTCAGAGTATTTTTTAGGAGCTGCCCTACTAATAAGCTCGCATGTGAGGTAGTTGTTCTCAGACTTAAGCTAGGCCTCATTCTACGTGAGGTCAGGTAGGAAGCAATGCGACGGGGTTTTTCTTTCTCTACCTTTTATAAAATTGTACTTCGCTCTGCTCTCAAGATGTCTAAGCATCTCCCTCAGTATCTTTTCCCTTTCCCCCGAATCATCTTACCTCTACTCCCCCTCCCACCCCGGAGTCAAATTCCTTTTCCAGTCTAAATCCAGATACACCAATCTATATCACTTCCTCAGTGCCTACCCCTCCTCCTCACTTTGCCTGTCGCACCAGGCATCCTAAACGTTCCACTCCATCTACACCATCCTCTCCTCTGCTCTTCGGATATCTATCTATCCCCTCTTCTCCCCCTCACAAGCAGGACTGTTGGATTCGGTATATAGTGACGTTATCATGACGTATTATGTAGTCGGTAATATAAAACGTCACAGTTGGTAATTTTTCATTATCGAATGTAGAGCAGATTCTACCTTTTTACACAAGTACTTGTAGAAAGTAGTTCGCATATATTTTCCCCATAATAATTCGATCCTAGAAAATAAATATGAAATGTACTATTTTTAGGCTGGTTTATACATAGATTTTAGTTGTTCCTACAATTCATGTTCAATCCTCACAATCTAACAATGCATGTTCAATCCTCACAATCTAACAATGTTCAATCCTCACAATCTAACAAAGAAAACTAGAATAACAGCCAATCACAACACGAGAACTGCAAATCACAACACGAGAACTGCAAATCACAACACGAGAACTGCAACCAATCAGCGCGTTTAGAAAAAAAAGTCGGAAAATCTGACAGCCCTGCTCACAAGGACATTTGTTTCTCAGACATTTTCACCCAACTCTCCTCCAGAAACTCTTGAAGACATCCAGAACTCTCTGAACATGAGAAGGAAACACTCCCTCATCTCATCCACCCTCCAAATCTGTCCCAATTCCCTCCATTTTAAAGTATTTGTTGATATCCACCCTCCTCCAAGTTCCCTCTATCCCTCTTCCTCCTACTCTCCCAACACACCCCTTCCTCTTTTCTTTGTGCACCATTCCCTCTTCGTTCCCCATTATCCTTGCCGCTCCCATTTGAATACCTTCTGTCACAACAATCTAGCCCCCCCCCCCTGACATTCATCCTGATACTTGCACCTTTCCCAGTCCCCCTTTCTCATTCCCCGGATTATTCTCCTCATGCCTTTGCACCAGCTTTTCCTTAAACAATGTCCCTATTCCTTCCCCAGTCCCAGATGCAATCAATCAATCGCCCTCCTTTAAACTTTTCCTCCTCTACTAATCTCCGTTTTAGTTCATTTGCGACCCCCTCTTTACCCGTTTCACTACCATACTATCTTACAAGACTCTAATCTTTGATATCTAACATTTTATCCTAATCTTTAACTCTTTTCGCCATGATATTTTCTCAAAGAGCTAAATGACCTTTGATGTCTAGTACATGCATTTGTTTCACCCATTAACCCTTAACCAGGAAGTACAAGGTGGCCAAGTAAGGATTTTCTTTTAATACCTTGTCTGTTGTGTTGAATCTATCCGCACAGTGTTTCCTTTGAGGTAGTATATCAAGTCAGCTTTTTCCAATTTAGTTACACATGACTTTCCGGCATTCAATAGCACTTAGATCCTTGTACTATGAAGTGGTGGCAGTTTAGGCCGAATGGAATTCATTTAGTTACGAAAAATGCACGTTCACTTTAACAGTTACATAATCTATGCTTAGTGGACTTAATGCATAACAACTAGGATCACAGATTGTTGATAGTACTTACACACAGATGAATAGCTAAATACAAAATGTCTTCTACCACAATCTGCACCTTCAGGTAAAAAAAAAAAAAAAAAAATTAAAGATTTAATATTTATTAGCAAAATAAAAATTAAAAACTTAACAGATAAATGTCAACAATTTATCATTCATAGAAAAATCCTTTGGTATTGAATCTGAGAGTCAAAATTGCCTCTGGATTTTTACAAGAAATCCAAACCAGAGGTCTGTTCTTGGTTTCCATCTTCTGCAGATCAACAGGTCTATCGCACACCGAAATCTGCTGGTAAAGCCGGAACCCCTAAAAAACAAACAAAAAAACACATTAACATACTCTTAGGAGAATTTGTCAAAATTCAAATTTATCTGAAATTATGACTTGGGCATTGGGCTGCATGGGCATTTAATATCTTGCGACAGTTTTACTCACTTCAGAGAATATGTATTCATAAACGTCCAGTGTGCGTGTATGCTCCGAGAGAAGTAACAGGTACAAATCATCTCCGATTCGCATCTGTTCCTGGGCAACGACACCGTATGAGGCTAGAGATTCGTAGGGCTTGAATTTGGACGTGCGTTCGTCGAATCTGAATACCTGTGGAATACATTTTACTATGAAAACAGCAACAAAAAAATGGATTGTTCATGCATATATCCACATCTGAGTAAAAAGTTTTTATAATTACAAATTTCGTCACACGGCATGGCAAGGAGAAGAGACCTTAACACTAACCAGAACTTTCGTTGTATATTTCACATTATCTTCAAAGGAAGAAAAGTCAGCAGCCTTTAACTGAGCTAAAGCGAAGAAATGTTCCTGTACTGGTTCACTCGAACTCAGGAATATAGCTGACGTCACGTGATCTCCCATGTACTCTCCTTGCACTAAAAACTAAGAAAAAACACTATCAGTTTGAATGAGACTGTTAGAGAACAGAACACCTTTTCATACAACAAGAACTATCATCATGCAATATAAAATATAGCGATTTAATCCGTGTTAAAAAACAACAACAAAAAAACGTACCTTTTCCTCGGAGGGGAACCAACCATATACAAGCGACTTCGCAGTGTAAGGATCACTCGTGCTGTTCCCTGTCGCAGCATTTGCTACCAACATGTACCAGCGATCATTGACCTAGGAGAAAACGTTTAATTTGTGTAAATATACAATTTTCCGTAGAGATAAAGACGTGCAAATATCATGAGACTTATGGACGGGTACCTTTGTCATGTCCACCGTCGAGGCACTGTTGTGTGTAAGTGTTGACCAAACCTTGACTAGCTGGTTTTCCTCAAGCCGTAGTGCAGTGACCAGCGTCGTCTCGGTTAAATCGGTCACTGTTTAAAATTGTTCTTTTGAGACATTGTACATGAGAAAGGAACGTATCGCTAAATGGTCTAAACTTTTACGCAACAAACCACATTTTTAAATTTTGTAATTAGAGTCAGATTTACATATAAACTGTTTATATTTATTTAAATCAGTCAATTTAGAATCTAAATATTCGTACAGTTTAATACACTACGAGGCTCATTCATACATAAAAAGGTATGATATTACTAATTGCGATACTCCCAATATTTTTAGCTTTCCCAAGGCCTACTCACCATCAGCCATGCGACCAACAGTGACGAAATACGTCCGAGTTACTCCATTATCATCTGACGTAAAAGACGCAACGTCAGCGACCAAGCCCAATGTGTCATCCATGATAACTTTTGTATTATTGCTCCTTATTTTAAAAGTGCTGTATCCTGTTTGGCCGAAACATCTGTAAAAAATCAATTTCATTTAGTACTCGACAAACTGGGAAAAAACTAGTACAAATATATCCCTTTCATATTTCATATCTGATAGCTCGTAAACTGAAAATTCAAAATGTATACTCATGCTCAAGCCTTGTCCCTTCGGAAATACTGCTCTTGAAGACGAATACAGAATGATCACTGAAGGTAATATTATGCTGCAGGTTCCCATTTTCAGCAACCTGTGTTAATAGTTGCTGAAACTGTAGGCTTCGATTTTATGGGGCAAGGGTGTCAGGCTCGGAACCCTCCCGGGCCAATTTTCATTCCGGAGGGCCAACAAAGGGCAAACTTGGCTCTCTAGGATTACGTTATTAAAGCAAATTCTATAAAATAGATAGTGACACTAAGAATAAAATATCACATTTTAATAATTATTCTTGTGACTCAGTGAGCCGTCCCGAGGGCTACGAGTTTGACACCCCTGTTTTGAGCTAATAAAAGTACAGCCATTTATATCAAGCATACCTGCAAAGGTAAATATTCACTTGCGAAACTCAAACCATTTATCCTTACCTGGTACATTGCAGATCTTGCATTACATGTACAGACCAAGCCACAGTCCCTTACTGCCACAAAATTGTTTTCTCCCCACTGTCCATGAGTTAGTTTCCCTGCAAATTCAACGAGCTGGTTCCCCACTCTCTCTCCGTAAGACATTTTCTCGTATATACCTGAAAATAATCACACTTGGAATACATGTCCACAGTGCGGTAATAAATTATTAATATACTCTTGGATCAACTTACCACATGTAAGACGATCATTGTCATTCTGGACGTTCATGAATTTGGTGCTCAGGTCGGTCATCTTTTCACTTTGGGACTTAATGTTTGACATGATGTTCGAGACCTCGTGGTCAAGATCGTGAAGCCCCAAGCCATTAACTGTTCCTTGTACAGTAACCGAAGTTTCCGAGTCGACCACGTTCTCAATAACCTTGTAAGAATATTTGTTCACTCAGCCACAAAAGAAGACAAATGAACATTCTAAAACATCTACAGTACTTCTTAGTAAAATAAAACCGAGATAACTGGACTAACCAAACTTTTTCCAAATGTAGCAGGTTTATCCTTCCAAACAACAGATCTGTTCAGCTCCATTATATCCATTTCATTGATCTGCATCAAATCAATGGTTCCATTTACAAACAGGCCTCCATTTAACTCCTTCACGCCGGTGATATGTTGTTGAGATTTACCAGATTTTACCACAACATCAGAGAGTGTAAGGGTGTTGATCTCTTCTACCTCAAGGTTACCTGTGTCAAACATTCAGGCACTGAGCAAGAACACGAACCCATTTCTCTGCTTCAGAAATAAACGAGCATAAAAATGGAAAAGAAAATGTATGATTTTTGAAATGGACATGGATGTACATTGTAAATTCTATCTAACATTAGTGGAAATGACCCGCAACAAACCTTTCACTTCAATTTCTTCAAATATGCAATGTGAAGTCAAAGTCCCGTTGCCGTTCAAAGTGACGCGTTCTTCCAGCAACTGCTTTAGGTCTATTCCGTCTAAGTGTCCATCCACCTATATCAGTATAACACCAATTTAAAATTACTCAACAGAATTTACACTAGATCGATTTATACACATATAACCGGGGACTATAGTTATTTCAGAAGCTTCGCTGGCAATTTACCTTCAGATTTTCGCTGACACTAATGGGGGCCTCGAAAGTAATGCCACTGGGCACTTCCCAATCCTTGGAGACCACAATCAGATCGCTTGCCAAGACGTCACCAAGTGATTCTGTGGGATATCTTTATGCAGTAAAACTAAATTATCCTATTCTTGACTGTTTCAACATGACATAAAATATTTGAATAAAGACCTCCCTAAAAACAGTACAGTAACTTTTAGTAGCTTAGTTCACTGTAATAGTTTGTCTGATTAACAGAGATAAGGGGCAATTTTACCTAATGGAATTCAGTATATTTTTTTTAAACCACAATGCAATAATATATTTAGTAGCATCAGAATATGTACTCTATTTGGGATATTTTTGGAAAGAAACCACCCATGGGCAATAAAATACATTAACTGATCCCATAACCTGTATTCATCTCCTATTCTCACCAGAAATGTCGAGGTTTCCAGCAGCAAATCCATCAACAAAGATCTTAGAGCCGTCGATGAAGAGGGAATCACTCGTCGTTAATACTGCTCGACTGCCAAGAGCCGATATATTCAGGAAGTTGATGAGCACTCCGTCAGTATCAAGACGAGATATGGTCCTGCTTACGGTCAGATTCGCCACCGAAACTTCATTGGTAAACTGGAGGTCACAGCTAATGACCTGGAATGTAGGGAAAAAAACTTTGGTAAGATGATGTGTATTAATTAATAACTCAAAATATAGCAATGGGGTGAGGCTTCGGGGAGAAGCCCCTGGGTAAGGACGTTTATTGGCTCATAAGGCTCATAAGGCGATGTTTGTAGATTCCCAGAATGGTTAATGATCAAGACAACATATGGGCCATAAATCAAACGTCAGACAGCACCATCATAAAGTACTGTGGCGAAAAGGTTAAAATTAGTTGATAATGAGAAAATGTATTAAATGTCAAAGGTTGTAGAGTGCTGCAGGTGAGTATGGTAGTGAAAACGGTAAATGGGGAAGAGCAGGCCGTCCAGGACTGACACAGGGCTTCATCCTTTCAGGACGGCTGTTATACCTTTGAAAGTGGACAGAAGGGGGTGGGAAAGAAACTGAAAAGGAAAAGGAAAGGTGGAGAATACCATGGAAAATTAGTAGAGGCGACGGCTGAGGTCCAAGGTAGGGATGAGCCGCTACATTGGGCCTTAGTCTCCGTCTCCTAAGCCCCCCCCCCCCCGCCCATAACAACAAAGAGCAAGGGATTAGGGGTGGGGTTAATATGGACAGAATTATACTCGTATAATGGGGCACTAACCGTATCCTGATTATCCTGTACAGCTATATTATAAAGCTTGTCCACATAAACTCCATCCAGAGTTTCTGCCCAAAGGTCGTTTATTTGTACATCAGCAGAAAAAGTTGTGTTCCCTGCAACAGTAAAATACATGACAATTTTAATTCTTGCAATCAAACCATAAGCATGAAGTACATTTAGTGTTAGCAGATGGTACTTACAATTATGGTATTTGTTTACATGATACACTGTACTTGAGGCTACATTATCACAAGCAAAGATTTGAAGTTTTGAAGGATATACAGAGAATTGCTACAGAACATCTATAACTCCAGTTAAACTTTGGGTTTATTCTTGTAATCCATGTCCTAACAAAGACAAATCTATAACACACTGTACATGTTATCTACTAGCCTGTTATCTCTTGATCCGAGGACTTTCGGACCAAGGTTTCAAGGAAATGCTGGACATTAATCTTGGAGGATCCAGCCAGGATAATCTCTGAGATGGCATTCTCCTTCACTACAAGCTTATGCAGATTGACAGGCGAAAATATGTCAACTTCTCCTACACTTTTATTCCAGGAAGCAGACATCTCAAGCTGTAAGATCATTTTAGCTTAAAACTTTTCAAGATCATAAATAAAAGATAGAGATTCCTAAGTATATTTATTTATATATTTCCATGTCACAAATAACATGGATATTTACAAACCTCCATAACATCGCAACCATCAAGCAAGCCTGTGCCGGACAAGACACTGCTCATGACGACATTCTCCTCAAAGACAACCGTTCCTTCCAAAAATCCATCCTGATCCAACAACAAAAGGTCACTGGTATTCACTTCGTCAATAACCGGGGCATCAATATTTGCTGCAAGAAAGAGGCAATACAGACTTGATTTTGTTTCTCTCTTTTCTAAAGACCTGCATTTCTCACACATTTCTGACGTTGTATAGGATAATAAACACTTCTAAAGCAGAACATGTTTCTAGGGTTACATACTAGCCGTAATATTGGAGCTGAATGTGTAGTTGCCGATGATGCTCTGGTTACCACTTTTGGTCAAGATTCTGGGTACAAGTTCGGCCAAATCAATACCGTTGACAGTGCTAGGGTTGAAATCACCCAGGACAAATACAGGTTGATCTATTATTTTCGTTCCGGTGATTATGCCATCATGGTTCAATGGCACTACCTGTAAATTAAGAATTCAAACCATTTTGAGAGCCACTAGAAGGCAAACTAATGTATAGCATATTCTTCATGATTAAGAAATAAAAAAATGAATATGAATATCCACCTGTTTACCTTGCCTAAGTGATCTGCCCAGCTCTTGTTGTTTACTACATGCAGATTTGGTGCAGAGTTCAAGTGAACTGCCCCATCTACTGTGATTTTCCCTTCCACCAACTGTGATTGCAATGCCTCTCTCTTCAGACTGCGGGTTGCAAGGTCATCAACATCAACTCCATCGACCGTACCGGTGACGTGGAGTTGGCCCACTACCACAGTTGAAGAAAATATTTAAACAAAATGTAATAGTGCCTTGTGTTTTTATAAATTATATGTCTTGCAGATGCCAACTGTTTTTCCCCAAATGAAGTAAGTCGCTGGAAATTTACTCACTCTTTACCATCCATTCCCAACTCACCTTTCTCACAAAGATCTGACTACTGTGTAAAATATCACAACACGTCACGAGCACGCACCAGTGACAGTTCCTGCAAAGTCAAGTGGTCCAGAAATAGTGGCACTTTCATTTGCCAGTACGATGTCAGTCGCAGCTTCTTTCAAATCGAATCCATTCAGACTCTCCAGAAGCAGGTTAGCATTTGACAGACTCATTGATGAGGCTTCTATTTTCTCCATGAAGGTGAGTCTCTCTTTTATGCAAATGGAAAAGGGAGAAGTAAGGAAATATACAAGATTAACTTTGGTTATTAATAAAATATATGCAGAAAAGATGCAACTTACCTGTGTGAGGCACAGTATAATCTAACATCAGCAGGTCTGAGGTTAAATCCCAGCCGTTTAATTTCCCAGTGATGGACATGTCGCCGTCAATGGTCAACTTTCCATCAATTTTCTGAAAATGAAAAAAAAAAAAAAAATATGTCGACCATCCTACACATGTTCCGGAACCTAACAGATCATATGGAAGCAAGGAGTATATGTAAAAAAGTTACTTACCACTTCCCCTTCTATGAACTGATCGCTTGTCAAGTCAATAACCTCTTCCTCCAAAGCAGATATATCCACATCATCAATTGTTTTGTGATCAACCATTTGCATATCGCCCTCTATTGACACTGGAGCCTGTTTTCGGGTAAATGTTGTTAGAATATGCTATAAAACTTTATGTGGGAAATAGTGACAGTAGAAAAGTCATAATGTGTATAATAAACTTGATTAGAAAGGGACGTGCTTCTAAGTATCATTGATAGGAAAAGTGTCACCTTGAAAACGTAAGATCCAGTAACGGTCTGTGGACCCTGTGTATTCAGGTAGTTTGTCATTTGCTGCTGGTTCAACCTTGCTCCATTCACGGTGTCTCTAGAAAGTAGTGCCCCAATTATTCAGTATAAATAAAAAAAAATTTTGTACCGTTTTGCCGACACTACATAAATGAATAAAAAGCTACTTGATTTTCAAACATTGAAAGTATACCAATAACCAGTGGGTGAAAAAAATGTTCTCTATGAACAGTGGTCTGAATGAAGTGCCCTCTTCTTGAATTTGATCATTTACTTAAAAATTTATAATGTCCTTCAGCAAGTCTCATGAGACAACCTACATCTGGTTTTAGGATTAGCAGGACGACTGATTGATGGGCCCCCATTGTGTAACTACTTAGGTCACCTTAGGTCAGGTACATTGCTGTCCCACAGGGAACCTCACATCCCTCTCCCAAGGAAACCTTTTACCCAAGTTGAATAAAAAGGTGTTTGAAGAAAAGGGATAGTCTCAAGTGAGAGAGCATAGTGTGCATATGTTGGGTTCATGTGCTGTTGTGTTATGTTTATTCACTGGTCACAAATATAAGAGCAGAAATATTCATTCTTTTGAACCATTATTGAAAGTTCACTACAGAAACCACAGCCATCTAAATCGGCAGCTGCTGACATTTCTGATTCAGAGTCTTCCGACGGGGATGAAGAAATCCCCAGTAAGGAGTTTCAACAACATTAGACTCGACCTTCGATAGTGACGTCACTTGCTGCCTATATTTCAAAAACGTGGAACAACAATGCCTCGGGAACATCTTTCAAGTGGAGAAGGCGGGAGAATTTTCCTCGGAAACATTCCTTTTGTGGCAGTCCGGGGCTCAAGGTTCAAACGCCGCTTCAAATCTTCAAGGAATTCCTTGCTCATGTAGTGGAGGAAACGAATAGGTATGTAGAGTTAATGCTCATAACTTTATCTAGTGTTTATCAGTGTTGCTCAGCAGATTGAGAGGGAAAGGAGCCATGACCAGAGGTGGCAGCTCGTGACAGTTCGAGCGTCACTGCTACCTTGGTCTGAAGGTCCTCATGGAGCTGAGCTGGAAGCGTTGGATCTCTACTGGTCACGCAATCCGGGAGTTGCGATTGCCCATGACATATTATTGTGTGCAGACAGAATGACAGAATTCCGTCTTGTTCAGTTCACTTAAGTTCTTCGGCAATTTAGTTAAAAATCCCCACCCAATTACCTTGGTCTATCAGAATTTAGCGAATCTCTGATTAAGATTAAATACAATTGGGGATAGCGTAAAACCATTTCTGAACTGAGAAGCCTTGCTTTGCGCAAGTATACAAAGAATTTTCATGCCATCATGCATAATTGCGTATGTTCCATCACATATAATTTAATGCTGTTCAATGTGGTAGTTGAAATAATGTTGCATTAAAGTGAACGTTAATATGCGTGTTTGTGATTCATTCTTTGAATGAGCTCACTCTTCACACTCTTACACTTACACTTGAAACATACACACACACACATTCATTCACGCAGAACAAAAGAGACGGAACCTGTAACTACGACACAACAAACCCTATTAATGAAGGTTTCAGTTTATCCCGTAAAATTACAAAATTACCAATCGTGACGAGAGGCGATAATGCACAATTCTCATTTACATATTTGTTTCTTTCTCTATGAGACGACAATCGCTTCAAGTAAATCCTTGTGGATTGTAATTGTCGTTTCCCTTATCAGAGATGATTCGTAAACATCACCTTACGACGGCGTTTTGGTAAATTTTTCGTTCCGGTACCCATCGCTTCAAGTAAATCCTTGTGGATTGTAATTGTCGTTTCCCTTATCAGAGATGATTCGTAGCTCAAGCAGGTCTTTTCTTCTTGAAAAAATGAAAATAAATGAAAAAAACATTAAAAATTGCAAATTAATACAAAAAAAACGGCTAGTAGCACTTAACACCCCTCCCCCCGTCTTTTTTTTTTTCTCTTACTATGATCTGGTTCGATAATATATTAGATGGACTGTAAATATCTGACACGGATAGTTAGTGTAGGTATCAGTCACCTAGGATGCTGTGGAAGAGTGACTGGACCTAAAGGCGTCCAGACAGGCAACAAACACCTGGAGCTCATCATGGCAAGTATCTGCCGCCCTCAGATGCCGGAAAGGACACCCCTGCCCAACGTCCATAGATCTAGTCGCAGGTTATGAGACAGACTCAAGAGGGCATGACGTTTAATCCACACAGACCTTCCCGCTACCCGCCATGCGGCAACCCTCGCCTGGGCTTGCCACTGCGGGTTCCACTCAGCACTGACCAGTCTTGTATTTTCTACTTGTGCTCGTGTGTAACTCTTAACAATAAAGAGTTAATCCATTTAAGTAGCACCACTTCTGAGAACCAGTGTCAATGTAGGTCACCACCTTTTACACTGCCCCCAATTTAGCCCTCGGACAGGGAGTGGGTGAGGTGCCTCAGGCACTCCAATAATTTGTAACAACTATCATGATTCTAAGTGGTTCCTAAAAGAAGGAAAAAGATGAAGAAATGTGTGAACATGAGAGAAGGAGAATTGGCGCGACTGGAAAGAGATGAATAATAACGCAAAGGTAAACAAAGTATGAAATCAATGTTGACTGAATGGCAGAACTGCACCACGAGTTTCATAGAAAAATTAAGATATGCCATGCAACTGGGCGGGGCAATTGTGATTTCGAGCAATTGCTGGACGAGGGAGAGGGAGGCCGTATCCCACAGTGCGGGCAGGCCACTCGGAGCAGACCCTGACGACTCGGGGATATAATGGGACAGTGGTGACGGTCCCAAAAGCTGGTGAAAAGCTCACGAAAGAGATAATTTTCCAAGTGCCTCAAGTAGAGATGCTGAGGTGGATCAAATTTCAACTCTATGTAAGGCGCAATTACAGCCGCTCAGAGCACTTGCCAGAGCCCTGGTGGATCATGCAGCACCAGCACTTTCCATAGCCTGTCAAGGAATGTCGTCTTGATGCCTTTTGTAATAGGTCCTAGCACTGGATCATAGGGTACTATTATCGGGACCACACGTAAAACCAACGGTTGCACCATAAAACTGGCACGGACTTTTTGCACAATCCGTGATTGCCAACTCAGGCTATATGGCTGCCTGGCTCATTTCCACAGAAGGATCCTACTTACCACATTGTCTATGCAAGACAACCCTGGTTGGAGGTGGCCTGTGGGACGACTTAGGAAGTAGTGGCTTGGGCAGACTGATCAAACCCATTATGAAGAGCTTGAGGTGGGCCGAGTCCCTGCCTGTTGGTTCGACATGGACCCCTTTGGGTGGAAATGAAGGGTGGATGCGGCTATGCCCTCCCGTCGCTGTTAGCTCCAAATGATATAGTGTCCTATGCTTTAGACACAGAAATGCAGAGATAATACGTTAACCTGAGCAGGTTCTATAGATGCTTAGGAATGGCCAGGTATTTGAGATTTTGAAGAGGTACAGGCATTTTCATTAATAGCATAATCAAAACAATATGTAAACCATCTATCTGCATTCAGTTTGTTCTGATGCTGTTATACTGATATTGTTATAATTATTGGCATTGCGATTGTAATTGCCATACTGATATCGATAAAGAACGAAAAAATCTTTATAATTAAAGAAAACGGTAGACAGGCAGGAATAGGAATAGGCTCCTTGGCGGCTATGCACAATTGTTAAGCTACCTATTTGTAGTCAATTATCAGACGAAAATCTGAAGATGGTATGTCATGTGATGCCATCCCAGCAGTGTGGGTGACTGTCATTATCACTGACTTTATCACTGCATTTCCATAAACAAGTATGTAATGGTGCCTTGGACAGAGTCAAAGGCACCATGCACACTTAGTCCTCCCAAAGGGCTGTCTCTAATTCCATCGCTCTTTTCCGGGGCACTGAATTCACATTGTTTTCATTGTCTGTGTTCCTTTATGCTAAAAGCTACACATTTTAATCATTTTGTGTATGGGGTATTTTAATGTTCTAATCTTTTTCACTTTGCTTGACCATTTACATTAATTTGTTAAATTTCTTACGATCGTTTACAAAGGACTAGTTTCATGAATTGTGATATATCCCGTTTCTAGGGCAACGTCTGGCGTTTTGTGCAATGAGTAAAATTTAAACAAATGTTGGTATTGGTATGGAAAAGGATATTTTTAATTATAATTCAGTAGGTCTCATTACTTAAAAAGGTCCCATTTCAACATCGAAAGTTTGTCTGAACACAAATCACTTTCTTCTTCGTTCTACAATATATGAAATTACACCTATTGCTGGTATGCAAAAATAATCATAACCAAATTTTATACTACTTCCTTTTTTACAGAATTTTAGATATAACATTGCAGAGGACTCACCGGAAAGTGGCGTTTTTCAAGGAAGGTGAAGCCGTGATCACCTGATCTGTACTCTTCCTCCAGTATCGGCTGCCAATGCCATCCATTGCAAGGTTATTAATGGTGTGTGCTGTCACATTTCCTGTTACCTGGAAGTTCACTCTTGTTACTTTCTACACAAAAGAATAACCTTGCATGTTATCTGTGTACAACTACTACACTGGACTTCTGTATGAGAAGAGAAGAAACTTTTTCAAACTAATAAGTTCCTATATATTTTCGTCCTTCTACATGGTTATCATGGTTATTAGGCATCTGTCATTCCCTGTTGCTCTTCTTCGGTTTCACATCTGCTGAAACTCAAAGAAAGGTATCTTTTTCAACACTACAAACATTCCTTCATAGTTATTCTAATTATTAATAGGAGGAATGCTACTCATGTATTTAATGTCCGTCACAGTTATGATAATGTATTTTAATTGTTAAGCTCATCAATGGCACTTGAATGGCAGTAATAGGCTACCACGGCACACGGAACGAAAGTAATGGGCGTTAATATTGGTTGCGACGTGGTTAGGGCGACTATGAATCCATGAAGTATTAAATTATATTGAGCCTCATTGTAAAGTCGTTGAAAACAGTGGCGGAGTCAGGGGGGCAATAAGGGTTCCAGACCCTCCCCAACTTTTGAATGTACATTCACCGTTAGTTTTAAATTTAATTTGAATCTCCCCGCCTTTTAGCACCGTAGGTTTTAAAACGTTCTTATTTTTTATGCAAAGAAATAAGAAAAATTGAGGGCCCTCAGCTTCAAAAGGGGGAAATTTTCGAATGAAAATGAGAAACCTTTAAAAACTTGGTGCCACTTCAGGTTTCTGATAAGTAACACTGATGTCTATGCAAATGGTCCATGACTGGTCTTAACTGGTGCACCTGACCAGAAGTTAACGAGGATATTCTTTACAACTGATATATAAAGGGCTATCATAGCATTCTTCAAAACAAGTTCCTTGTACACCAGCTAAGAAGTTATGCCTATGCTACACCATCTCCTTTTGAAGGAAACTTCGTCATTCCTCTCGAACCTGGAGAAGGCTCTCCAGTGACAGCAGACTGCTACGCCACGTTCCTTTGTGACATCTCAATGGGAGGGCTCACTGTTACACATGACCCAAGTGCTTACATTGCAGCTAGCCCATTCATTGGCTTGACATCGACAGTTACATATCACCTTGTCTCCTAAATATATATTCGATTGTACACAATGTATCGTACTTAACCGCAAAGCCCACAGGTTTTGGGGGAAGCTCTCTTGAAGGGAGCAATTAACAGACAATAGAGTTGTACGCAGTGTCAATTCTGGAAATACCCCTGAACTCAATGCCAGACTGGAGTCAGGCCTTGCCCGTATCAAAGCACCCCTGAAGTATTGGTTAAACAAGATACAGCAGTGTTACAGCTGTAGTATTATAGGTAGATTTATCAAGCCAGTGTTGTTCAGCAATGAAATTTAAGAAAAACTTTCTATAGCAATCGTCATGAAGTAAGACTTACTGCTGGAAGTAGTTAGTCATGTCAGTCACGTAGTAGTTAGTCACGATGGAAAAAAGTCAAATGCAGCAGTAGTTCACCCAATTACTTAGTGATTTTCATCATTCAGTATCTGATATCACTACAAATACCAAAGCAGGAGCCTTACATCTGATTATATGATAATTAGACACTGATGCGCGTCTGCAATCTACTCTACTGAGCTAAAGAGGATTTCTTGAATTAACAATTACGAATGTGATTAATGGGCTATGATCTTGCGAGTGTGGAGTTAAAAAACCGCTCAAATAGTTAATATATTTGGAGCATAAGGTTAAAGATGTGATGGTATAGGCACAGTTACAGATATAGCATTAGGACTAATTCTTGCCATTACACCGAATGAAGTTCTAAAGGTCGGCTACCCAGTTAAACTACTGATCCCGACAATGAAAATGATGCAATGAGTCGAGCAACCGTTTTCACATGGAGAGTCTTAACCGAAAATTATACATCCTCTAAGTTCTGCTACAATGCAATAATACAAATTTGCATCAACAGCAATTGTTGAAAAAACTCCTCAATACCAAGATAAAATGTGCCATGCTGTGTCAGTGTGAGCCCACCTGGAGAGGAACAGTCAGGTTGATAGCATCACTGATCATAAAGATCTCCGTGTATTCCATCATTCTGAGGGATGAAGGATCGACCAGGTTGATTGTCGCTCCTTCTGCCATGAGGACGCCTTCGCCACTCGTCACTCGCACGCTGTCATTAAACGTTATGCGACCTGGCATGTGCGAACAAAATGGTTACATGTTATTTAAGTTTATACTGAATATGAAGAAATTGGTGCCTGGTTTGTGTTCAGAGTAAATGTGCACTATTTTCGTAAATGATTAAAATTAAAATCATTGGGCATCTTGTCTAAAAATTGTAAAAAAAAATCCGAAGTAGTAATAAAACCAATCCTTGTATACTGGCAAATTGTGCATATCGAAGACTAACATCTAGGAAAATAAAGTCTGGGAAAATTAACTTTCAACTTTTCCCCAATTAAGGAAAATATTGTGCTGTGGCATTATTCCAATAAATATCTTATGCTGTTGAATTGCATGTTATTTTGCTTATAGTCATGGATGCACTTGATGTGTAAGCACTAGTATCTTCAGACAAATATAGAAACCAAAAGCAGTTAAGAAAATATGCAGACTCTACCATTTACTGGGCATTCGAATTTCATTAACGATCACCATATGGTGATCGTTACATGCTATCAACATTTATAAATGCTATACACCACAAATAGATCTCAAATAAACTTCACTTATACTGGTTTAAGTTTAGAAAGGTGTATTACTTTCATCAATTGTACTACACAACAAATTGAATAAAACCAGCTGTTAATTTCAATGCGATTCCGATTTGCTTTTTTTTTTTTTACTTTCATATAAAAAGAATCATTTACATTACTATAGTGTGCAAAGTACCAGTTTATCATTTATCTATCAAATTTTCCTATCACCACTTGAGGGTGCCAGAGATTCATCAGATTCCTCAAAGACCCCAAGGTCGAAAGTATTACAGTAAGAAAAGAATGATCATCTGTGTCTAAGGTCTATGAACATACCGTCTATAATGTGGTCGCCTGTCGTTAGAACTACGTCTTGGCTGAAGTTGAGACCGTTTACATTTCCACTATTCATGGCCGTAGCTATTGTAGCGTCGTCAAAGTAATAATTGCCAGATATGACGTCACTGGAGGACACTTTAATCATGTCTTTCCATGGGATTTCGTTCACTCGGGGATTGGTAACATTTCCTTCCACGCTAACATCACCACGGTATGCGATCTTACCTGAAGAAACCGTCATAGATATAAAGTAATAAGAATTAATTTTACTTTCATTTTCATCATGTAGTTTTATCTAAACGGTAATGACTTACCTGACAAAGTAAAGTCACCTGAGGTCCTAACAACAGACTCGTTTAGCAGTTTCAAGTCAACATTATTTATGAGTTTTACGTCTGCATTGCCCTCGACCTTGACGGCACGCAGAGTATAGTCTCCCCTCAGGATCTGGGTGCTTTGCCCTGTTGTGTACACCGTGCGATTCGACAGGTCAGCTAAATCAACCTGTGTAAATACAATTAAGGGTCTGCAACTGTCCCCAAATACAGCGTGCAATATACCATCTAACAAACAGGTTTTGAATACATACACCATTGACCAAGCCAGCGTCCAACGACTTAGCCACAGTGAAATTCTGGAAGGTCTTCACAGAGGTGAAGGTGGCATTAGCGTCCTTCATAACCATATGTTCCGTATCTACTCCGTTAATGAGCATGGACACGTCAGAGTTAATAGCTGTCGCATGGACGTGGTCGTACGCATGGTGTCCAGTCACTTCCTGAGAGGTGGCATTCTTCAGCATAAACTCTGAAATGAACAGGCGAATCCAATCCTATCTTGCATCATTCCCCAGCATTGTAATCGATATTTTTGTACCATTTATATATAAACTTGGCAGTGATTATCTACTTATTTACATACATTTTATTCACTGATGGTGGATATACTACAAGAACGATAGAGGAAAATGAATCCGAATTATAAAGTCTAATTACAGTTTCCGGATTCTCTCTCATTTATCATAATTTAATTATATAATTACCTAGTAAATTTTGAACACATGTGTACTGACGGAATAATGTTTATAGTTTACTACTTCGGAGCCAGAGAAATATTCAGAAAAAGTTTCAATCTGCAAAGATATATGTACTTTTACATCTATGCTACAACCTGCATATGAAACAGACGAAATGCATGGGGTGGCTGTAGTTTGATATTCTTACAGAGAGAGAGAGAGAGAGAGAGAGAGAGAGAGAGAGAGAGAGAGAGAGAGAGAGAGAGAGAGAGAGAGAGAGAGAGAGAGAGAGAGAGAGAGAGAGAGAGAGAGAGACAGAGACAGAGATGGGGATGGTACAACGAAAAACGTCTTTGAATGTTATAACATATCCCAATACCGATCTGAACACAAGATTGATGGACATGGATGCAACAAACTCACGGTTCGAGTAGACGCCGTTGATGGAGGTCGCTGGCAACTCCGTGCGCGTGACAAAGCGTTCCGTGTTCATTGTGTGGAGTGAAAGAACTGAACTGACATTCTGGGCGATTCCATTCATCATAAACACATGGTGCATGTTCAGGAGTGGCACATCATTTAACTGGGAAAGTAACAGTAATGAGTATTAACCGATAAATTTAATCAATTCTGATGATGGAAGTATTACAAGTTCCAGTTCGTTCCACTTTTTATGGTGCATTTGCGCCTGACATGCCTGGAACCATCACACTTTATCGCAACCTACTGAGGGAATAAAAAAATGCTATTTTTTAATCACTCCACCTTACTAGATAGACCTTAAAACATCGGAAGAAGACAAACATTACATTTCTAAATATATCAACTATTTACAAAAGGAAAAACGATTTTCAGACTTCCGCCTGTGACATCACCAGTAGTTCAGTCGCCGAAAGGGGTACTTTCACCAGGATGAGATTTAAAACCTCCACTAAAATATATAAAAATATCTACACAAAAAAATCTTTGTAAATAGAAAATGAAAAGAATATTCAAATCCAGTTTTGTCAAGAAAAATGGAAAAAAGTAAAAAAAAATTCGTCCAAATTCCGTTTTTAAAAAATGTGACGAGATATACCCCAGTGGTTAACTAAGGTAAACAAGTCCTTCCTACCTTAATAGACCAAGGAAAAGGGCAATAAATACACAAGTGCCTGAGCTCTTTGCCTGCGTGTGGTGGTTCCATGCGTGTCAAGACCGGAAAATGTGGAGCGAATAATTAATTACAATAATTAATGATAGAGAACTTGTAGTACTGCTATTCATAATAATCTATTATGATTATGGTTATATCTATTAACGTAAAATAAGAAAAAATATAATTTTATAGTCATAATAAACAGTGATAAATGATTAACAATGACCAAAAATATCTAGTTAATATTGGTAAATTTCATTAAGTATTGATAAGAGGCTACCAGACAACCCACAAGGCTCCACTTACCTTGTCTATATTGATAACATTCGACTCGAACTTATCAGAGGAAAGCGAAGTAGCATCAACAGGACCAGTGATCTCTTGGTTCCCAGAATGGTAAAGTATGTCCGGTATGTTGGAGGCGAGCGTCTCCACAAGATCCTATTCAGAGAAAACCCGGCCATTTGGTGCGCTTTTGAGAGCAACTGATATGTATATTACGGATTTCTAAGTGTAACTGCGAGACTAACCTCAATTTCTGAAGTTTTGTTCGAAAAATTGCGGAAAGTGTCTGCATTCGGGTCGACAGCGTCAGCTCCCTTTATAGTAACTGTCTGAAAAGAAGTCTTGCCTCTAACAGACAACCCACCAGAGAACGTCACTGGGCCGGTCCAAGTCTGAAAAAGGATAATTTTTTATAACAGCTTTGATAGTCACTTAGACTGATGGCATGTCACTCATTAGTAACTTTAAAATAAAGTAGTTATCTGGATCCCAAAAGGTGCTTTTTCACATTTTCCTGGAGAAGCTACCGATTGTTATTCCCTGATCTCTTCTTCTACCTGATTCTTATCCGTGGTCATCAGGCCACCAGTCGTCGTAACACTCTCGATGTATGATAGAGCACGTTGACTTCCAACAAGCTCACTCCGCAAGTCTTTTAGGCAAAGCAGAAGTTCGCCTGGCACATTCACTGGAGGCTCTGTAAATTCATGAAGTATACTCTAATATCCTACTGCGATGTTAGTTTTTTATAATCACATACAAATTTGTGAACCAGAGAAAGCTAGGAATAATGCTTTTCCAATGCAATGAAATTGAGCAGTCATTTATTTTTAACAAGTATTTCCTTACCCAATTCAATTTCCTCTATTACAACATTCTGTGCTTCCAGATTGGTATTGCCTTGATCGTCTTTGCACGTGTAAATTAACACATGATTTCCTTCCATTGGGACCATGAACATATTGTCAATGATGTTACACTTGGTTTCTATGACAAAGTCGGAGCGGTAATGTGCAGATGTATCGTCCGTGTAAATAGTAATTCTACCCTGAACAAGAAAATATTTGGTTGAATAATAATGAAATAATTGTAGTTGTGACTTTTCCTAAAACTTCAAACAGCTGAAGAATACTTACGCCATTAGAAACCATTATTATAGTTTCGAGGGAAGTGAACAAGAACGTTTGCACACTGCTGCTTTCACGCGTCAAGGGAAGGGAGTCTAATGCTTGCCAAAGCAGCAGCTGTTCACCTAGGGTAAAGAATATAATTGTTTAAAAACTGTCTGCACTAGTTATTTTGGAGAACAGTTAGAATGCTGTAATTCATATTCCGAGAAATGACTCAAACCTCAAACTAACTTGTCCACCAGTAAATCTTGGTAGATCCTTCATTATTCAGTGTTACAATATAATGTTTGTTTTCTTGTGCTTCGATGTAGTGCAAAACTTTGTATACATCAGTGTCCGGAAGTTGTTGTAAGAGAGTCACAGTTTGTACAACAGGGTCGAACTTGTAGACTTGCGAACCTTCCTGGAGAGAATAGTTTTCATCTGAAGCTAGTAAAGATGGAGGAAACTACAGGCTACAGGAGATAAAATATACTGTGAAACACTGCTTACTGTTGTTACTCACAGAATAGGACATGGCAAACACGAGATAATAATTGCCCCATTCACTGAAGCCTGTAACATCATACACATCCTTAGTTCTGAAGACTAGTTCATCTTGGCGATCAAAGTAGTTGCCATTCAGTCGATATAATCTTCATACCCCAACATGACCATGAAAATGTAAAAAAAAAATCATGACCTAATGGGTTCCAAACTTGAGAAATTTTACAACACACCTGTATCACCAAATCCTTCATTAGATAAACTTAAAAAGATACCGAGATCTGGCATGAAGTGAACCATCGCCAGGGGGGTCCTTGGCCCCGACGACCAAATACAACTCGCCCGCCGCCTCGAACATGAACAGCCCGCCCACCAATCCTTCTCCAGGGATAATCTGACTGGACTCGGCTGCCGTCGGCGAAGTGAGGTCCACCCTCACGATTCCCACGAAATTGGCTGCTGGGGGGGCCACCGCAATCCAGAGCTGTCCGCCTATGATGTGGCTCTTGATCAAGTAATATAAACACGCTTTGTATATAAGTTGTATACATTATGAATAAAAATGGTGAAGGTATTAGGGCTACATATCATGCAGTAGTCTTTTAACAAGTTATAAAGCTGACAAAAATGAATTATCCCTTAGTGCTTATCCAAAATGGGGCACAAGACCTGAAACCTTAAATAACTAAAGAATTGATTATAACCAGTAATTTTCTATGTAAAGTCTACCTAAGTCCCCATGAAGGGTGAAGGCAGTAAAGCTGCAATTTTGTCGACACCACCGAAAATATGTAACTCGGAGTCTACTAGTTGGTGAACTCCACTTTCGTTTCTGGATACCTCGAGCACCATAAGGTCATGATGGCTATGGAAAAACAGGAAAAAAAAGGCAGATTTATGCAATTAACCATGGAGTTCCAAATTCCAAACCAATATTTAAAAGAAAATAAATAGCGAGCACATGCTTTAAAAAATTCTAGCAGAGCGCACACTATGAAATACACTTTACTGCAGTGCCCTTTACCTGTGATACCCTAACACCCAGTAGTCTTTGTCTTGCGCAGCCAGAACCTGCAATGCTGAGACCTCTTGAAGGAGAGAAGAGAAACGAAGCGTCATTGTCTCCGTTCTGTTTACCTTCATGGAAGTGACGTCAAGGTCTGGAATATCAATTGGATTTTAAGCCTTCCTGGCTAAAAGCGAGAGGTTTGTCTCTGTCACAGGGTAGATTTTTTTTTTGCAAAAGGTAATTAGAATAAACATTATGAATTGAACTACAGCATGTATTCTTACCAGTGTAGTTTTTAACAATGACTAAATGCATGAAAATTTACCTCGTTTATATCTGCGAGTTTCTACGGAAAATGCTTTGCTTATCTGAAGGTTTGCGACGTCCAGAATGCCATCTGTATATGCTTTCAGGTCTGCTAAAGATCTGAATGGTCTATCGTGCATCGTAGCCATCTGACAATATAAATGTACAATTCAGTTACTGTTGCCCTTTTTCTAAGCACAAGAGAGTGTATTTGCGCATGTACACGAGTGTGTGTACATGTGTACATATGCTTAAACCGGATAAATGCCTAAGTTTTATATCTATTTTCAGGTTAATATTCGCAATTACAAGTCGTTAAAACGTTATTTAAAACATGCAGGTTTTCATTCCAGCAAATCACCCAATTTAAATATCACAGCCAAAAAATACCGTATGGAAAAACAGAACACTCTCCCTAATCCTTTCGTCTATTTACCAAGTTGGCGAGGTCTGGAGGTCCTGGTAGAGACCAAGCAGCAGGCAGAGAGGCAGTCACCATCAATAACGCATGCAATACAAACAGGGACATGTTTGGTGCTACAATCTTGATCATATTCCTGCCTGAAAAGAGATACATCCTCATCAAAATGCTATTTGAATAGTGCTCTTAACTGCCTAAAAGCTTTAGAAATAAAATTATTTGATTGGAATTTTGTAGCTGAGTCGACGACTTGGTCAGTTGTGGCTCATATTTATATACTTGTACAAATGTCAACATCGAATAAAATTGGTTATAGGAGTCAGCATACTGGTATGCTTTACATTCCTCCATGAAAATTGTAGTGTAAGAGGAAGACGTGTTCTTCCCTCTCTGTTTACCTTGTGGAGTGCAATAATCAATGTGATGAACAAATACCCCTTTTCATCAGTTTTCTCCGGCCTAGTTCATCACTCGCCACCCTAACCTTTGATCTTCCATTATGTTTTACCAGCTTTCCGTCGTTTGCCCTCGTAAGCCTTGGTGTTCTTCTGTAGAAGGGGTGTTTACTACATGACTGGTGTCTATATCTCAGAGGAGGGAATCGTGTGGCTGTGTTAGTATGGCTGGGTGTTAGAGTTGAGTGGAGATCGCTGTAGGAGCCGGAGAAGCTCCCTAATGGTTACTGCTTAGCTGTGGTGCTGTTGGATGATCTTGAGACGATGTTTGATCTCGTTCCAGTTTCTACAGCTTAAGTACACAGGAGTTGTGTAAGCTAACAGGGAATGAAAGGAGCCTGCAGTCCAATCAGAGGTGTCCGGGTGAGCCAGTCAGGTCCCGTCAGTAAGTTATGGGTTGGGTTTGGTACACTCCCCTGTCATCCGCTCTTATGAGGGTGTAATTGATTAGTGAGAATCACACCTGGCGCCACAATGGCATCAGTGGATGACCCAAGACCTTCGACTTTTAAGGGTCTATGCGTGAAGAATACACCTGATGCTCTCATCTACCTTTTCAAAATTCTTCTGGTGAGGAATGTGTGGAATCGGACAAGGGGTACATACCACCGATAAAGCAGCACAGCGCCAAGGATCATTCCGGCGAGTATTTTCCGTCATTCCATATTCTTTCACAAATCCTCACATCCCCCTCGGTGATGATTCTGACTGACTGAATTGGAGGAAGATTTTGTGCCACTGGATGACATCGTTGTACTCCTATGAGAATCTCGCCGAGTAAGAAACTGCAGGGATCATACCACCCCCGGTTCCTTCTCCTTTGTTTGGAAGGAGAGAATGAAACGCTGTGCTTCGACTTCAGAGCAGCTCCTGGAGTCAAGGTTCCCGACGGATGTTGGTTCACGGCCAGAAGAGGTCTACAGCAAGTTCCTGACAAGAACTGGAAAAGTTTTGGTCTTACGCTTGGCTGATGTCGTCGGCGATTTTCTCCACACATGACCCAGAATTGGTTCGTTGGCGCTTCGCAGTCAACTAAGCCGAGCATCAAGTTGTGCAAGCACTGAGTGACGAACTTGAGTACGGCTACACTATTGCCGTCAACATCGAAATAGGGCAAGATCACAGGGAGATCCCTGCAAGCATAAAGGTGGCAGTAGAACTCTTGAAAAGAGTGGGCATTGTGACTAAGGGGTACAGAGTACACACTGACAACTGGTACTCATCCCCAAGTCTATTTCACTACCTGTAGGAAAGAAACAAGTGCTGGCGGTACAGTTGAACATGCCGACAGATCTGCAAGCAAAAGGGTGAGGAAACAGCCTTTCACAGCACAGACTCGGGAATGTTCATCCTTCAGAGGATGGACAAGAGGCCTCTCCACAGTCCACACCAATGAAAGTTGTTCTTGCTTCTATCAGGAACTTTTAAAAAGCCGCAGGTTGTACTAGAGTACTACAATGGCATGAAGTGAGTCGAACATAGCTTGCTCAATCTTCCATGTCTAAATAAACACCAGTCATATGAAAAGATCCTTTTCAATTTCCTGGACATAGTTGTCAACTCCCTGGCTGTACACAATGTCTTTGGCAGGAAGATGGTATAGGCCAATTTCAAATTATAGTTTGTGCGGGGCTTGCTTCAGAAGAGTGCTGAGGAAGGAGGGCCCATCTCACTCCTGCTCCTGCTGTTGTAGTTGATGTCGAGGAGCATATGCAAGAAGGGACACCCTTCCAAAGATAGCGATGCTGTGCCTTCTGGAAGACGAAGGGGAAGAGGAAAAACGAGCAGCATATGCATATATGTCATTTCCCTTGCTTTAGGGAACACCTTAGCACCTTACATGCTCCCTGAAGTTCAAACTATAAAATGTGTAATGCAACTAAGTACATTTACAAATATTATTATAAAAAACACCACTTACTTTACACAGTAAACTTCCACAAGTAATGATATACATATACATACAAGTAGGGGGAAAAAGGACATCCAGAACATTTTAGCGTTTTTTCCCCCCTCCCCCCCCTTAAAAAATTTAAATTCAAATCCCACCACCCCCCTTCTCCTTCCTGTCCTACTCGCGCTAACGTCTGCCAGGTCACCTTCTCCACAGATGGACCCCCCTCCTCTCCCCGTGCCGGCCCGTTTCACCGTCGAACACCGGACAACCCCACCCCCAGCATCTCGAGACAGGAAAAGACGCGTGAGTAATAGTGAACCTTTGCGTCCTAGGAGAAGATACCTCTCTGACAGTAAAAGTGAACTAGATGAAAAAGATGGCCTCCTCATTGTCACTACTCACATTGCCCACATTGAAGAAAACTTCAATCACACAGGTCAAAGCTTAATCTTTAATATACTTGAAGACGTTCAAGCCTCTCCTCACGAGTATCTGACTAACAACCAATATACTCATTAAAATCCGTAATGGGTCAAATGATCCTCCGCAAACCCTAAAATCGCATACTAGCTTTAAGCCAAAGCTAAGTAAAGTAGACTGAAACAGATGATGTACGTATTGTCGAAAGAGAGATCACCCTCGGCAGTCATGTTATCGCAAGCGCTGACGATTGTGGAAACAATCAGACATTGGATTGAGGAGGCAGCAGTAGGAGTTGATGAACTTACAACTGAAGCGGGAAGCGGGTTTGACATTGAAGATATCCTCGATCATCGCATTTACACAGCTCGGCTTCTCATGCCACAGGCTCTAAGGAAGTACGTACCCTATCCAAGTGGTGTTTGCGAGTCAAGACAGGTTTTTAATCCGCGGTCTAATACCGACTAGCGTTATTCAGTGCCTGGCATGGGACCGATTAGCTAGGTCCGGTATTGCAAAAAAAATTATCTTGGATCTACTAGTGTCAACACCCCGAGACAAATGCGCGCGTTACAAAATCTGATAGTGATCAGCTCCCTGTGGCATGGCATTGTCTAAGTCAGCTTGAAAATAAAAACAAGCTCTCCATCTTTTTATACGCACTTCAGAAAGGGATAGTTAATAACAGTAACAAATATAATATATCTCAATTTCACAAAGGGAAGGTCAGTAAAGATAGAGACGTGGTGCATTTATTGCTCTTTAACAATGAGCATTGCGCTCTCATAAAAAAAACTTATAGCCTTTTGGACGTTTTTTGTCGAAGAGGGAGAAGCGCCCACAAACATTGTCGCACCTGTGTCATCATTTCCAACACAGAAAAGTGTAGAAAATCACATGAGCGAGTGCGCGACCCCCCAGAGAATCCAATATCCACCCCCGGGGAGTCAAATGACCTTTAAAAATTGGGGTAAGGGGTACAGTCAGTCCCATCTTTGCATATATGACTTCGAGGCATGCATAGAATCATCAGGTGGTCATGGGGTGGCAAAATCACTTCATAAAGCAATGTCGTATTGTTATCTGATTATAAACCGGAAATAGTTAACAGTCGGGTGTATAGTGGTAGTGACTTTGTGGAATCCTTAAGGACTGAATGGAGTAATATTCATAAAACAATGCCTTAATATCCTTTATCGATGTCAGAGGCAAACGAGATAGCTTTTCAAAGAGCTACTATATGCCATCTCTGTAAAACTCAATTTCCATCAACAAAGAACAAACACAGACATCACGACCACACACTTAAACACCTGAACTACATAGCGGCGTACTGTGCACGGTGCAACCTTCAAATGGTTAATCATTACAGACAACTCTCGTGCATAGTACACAATCATAGTTACGATCTAGGGTTAGTTTTAAAGGAGATGAAGCAGGATGTGAGGATCGGCATACATGTAAAGCAGGGACTGAAATTCTATTCTGTCAAAATAGACAAGTTGAGATTTATCGATAGCTGTGCATTTATAAGTGCGAGCTTATCCTCTCTGGCTAAATCTCACATTAAGTGGTCAACCTCTTTACAGTAAACACCTCATTCAAACAATTGCCACGAGGCCATGACTTCCACCATCATCGCGTGTTTTGACAAGGGTAAGTAATTTCTGTGTTGTAGTCTTGATATTTATATCTCTATTATATTAAGGCTGAATATTTCTATTGCCTGCGATGTTTGTATATGCCGTAATAAACACCTATATTATTTGTGTTTTTGGTAGAGGTTGAAGACCGCGACGCGCGTAGATAGAGGAAAATGGACACCGCCATCTTATAGAGCGGAAGAAATAGAGTAGGATAGTGGTAATCTTAAGATGCACAGGCCTTATATTTACCGTTAAACGGAAAAAAACCGCGGCGCTGCGCGCCGCGCAGAGCCTAAGTCCAAAACATCCTTCCACAGGCAGAGTTCTTTGTTTATGTTTACATTTTCTATAAGCTCGTTTTCTATATGTCTCATTTTCTGTTATTCCATTTTCTATAATTGCGTTTTCTATGAAGGTCACGTTTTCGGTGCACCACTTTCAACTAACCTGGAATCATTGCCGATTACTAATTATTTTTATACATTATTTTATGTTATTTATAATGAAATTTCCTCAATTAAATTTATGTTTATACATTATATGTTGTATTCTGTGTAATGTGGTTAATTTACCATTACTATAATTTTTATCATAACCTTGATTGATTGTTAACAATCTAACAATGCTACTGCCTTGTTACATCAATTGCCTCCCAATCGGAACAATACCCAATCTTATTGAGTAGTCACTTGCCTGTAAGCCACCGTCATGGCTAGTAAGAG